CTCTCTCTCTCTCTCTCTCTCTCTCTCTCTCTCTGTGGAACTGGGCTGCTTCGGTTTCCACCTTTTGTTTATCTTGCTGAGTAATCTCTGTGGTTGATTCACGATAAAGCTCATATTGCACTCAAGGTGTTTGATCAAATGCCTAGCTGAGACTCCAGGTCGAAATATTGGCAATAACCGGTTTGTTTCTCACTCTTTTGCTCAAGATCTTGACTTTTGTTCTCAAATTCCGTTACATAATTAGATAGAAACTCTCTAGAGTCGTAATTTAGGAATTTAACGGTTTAATCACATCCATTTCGTTTGAGTCGACTAGACTAAGGTTTCGGTTTTGTGTCAACATGAATCTTGCGTAATAATGGTTGAGTTGAAAGTGTTCTTCATTGTTAGCTGCTGAGAAGACAAGTGAAGATCTCCGAGTATGTTGAGGAACGTGATGCCTTGGAACAGAAGCGATCACAATGTAGTTGGATTGATAATTAGGCATTTTGCAACGAAACCGAAGCCGAAGATGAAACCGATCGAGCTCAACACACCACCAGAGCAAACACAGACGATCACCCGAGTGATCTTTGATATTTTGAAGGAACATGGACCTCTCACCATTGCTGAAACTTGGGATCGTGTCAAGGTACTCTTTTACTTTACAATATGCTTTTCCAATTCCTTGGCTGACTTCGAAAAGTAGAGAATTCTAGGTAACAAGAGTGACTGATAGCTCAAAACCCTTCTACGAGATGCTTTCACTTTCTTTGTCAGAGGTTTGAGATTGAAATTTTGATAACAGTAATGAATCTTTAATCAGCCAAAGATAAAGAATGTGAAGGTTCATAAGTTCTATCTCAAAACCGATTGGTTAATGCGTGGAATAACTGTAACTCGTAAACCTTATTAGTTCAAGAACTCGAATAGTTGTTGATTAGCTTTCAAATAAAGTATGCAAGTAAGACTATTGATATTCACACACAGTGTAGTTTTCATCTGATAATTGTTGTAAAAAAAAAAAATTGAGCAGGAAGTGGGATTAAGAGGGCTAACGAGCAAGCGTCACATGAAGATAATACTAAGGTGGATGAGAGAGAGACAGAAGCTGAAGCTAATATGTAACCATGTTGGTCCTCACAAGCAGTTTTTGTACACTACTTGGTTCACTAAACACAACCCTTCTAAATCACTTAAGTTGCCGGAAAATCTCACTGGCAAATCTTCCGGCAACCCTAAACTTCCATGAGCCGACACCGTTTTTTTAAGACTTAGTCTCTTGAAATCTTCGTTTTTACTTTAACGTAATTAAAATGTCTTTCTTTCTTGACAAGTTTCTCTCGATGTTTATGCTTCTAAACACTTTTATTGTTACTTTCATACATTTAACTGTGACCCATTGATCACTTCTCCGATACCTTAACTAGAAATAGCACAGAACGATATCTGTTACCAGATAAAATAAAATTAAAGCCAAAAATAGCCCCCATTGCCCAAATCAAGCCAGTTCAAATCATATTTTAATTACTATTATTTTGTAGGTACTTAGTTGTGTAGTTTTGGGAATAGGATTCTTCTTGGAGCCTAGTATTGACGATGTTTTTATGACATATTCTTGATTCTTACAAGATCGATCAAGTCAACTTTCGATATCAAACTTCAACAAGAAAACGAATGTTTTTAGTCTCAGTTATTTTATTCCTTATTGGAGGCCGTTTTTAGAGCCTTACTCTTAAGTACTCGCCCTTGATAGAGAATTTTCAAAGTTGCTAAACTCAAATACAGAATTGTTGGAGTCACATACTCAGAATGCTATATTTTTCTTATAATGAGAACTGAGAATGCCAAGCAAATACAAATTAACACAAGTGTTGGAGACTTGGAGTCACATACACACTTGAAGTCTTGAAGACTTTCTTAATTCATTGAAGAATGTGGCGGATTAAGGATCGGACATTGATGCCAACATTCTTCTTTGTTCGTTGAACAGAACTTCGTTTTTCCAACGCAGCAATAACAATCGGGTGAAAAGCCAATATGGCAATATAATCGAACGCATGGTGGTAGAAATATCTTGTTCCGCTTAAAACCACCCACGTTTTCACCTACAGAAAAGTTAATTACACCCTTTAGATAAGCTATGAAGAATATAATGATGATTACAATAGTGATGATCATCACTGTCATGACAATAGTGAGGGTGAACAGAAGAAATTAAAATTTTATATATGTGTACGTGTGTATGCATACATTTTTGCATTCGAAAAAGAGAAACAAAAATTATACAAAGGATTGCAAAGCGTATTGATGACGACAACATGTGTGATTCTTCTCTCATATTTTTTTCTCTCTTTGATTTTCAAAACTCATAAGTCTTATATCGATGTTAATGTATTAGTAGATTCTTAGATAACCTATATAGGTATAAATAAATGGAGGAAATAAAAAAGCAAATAGCACAACTGACGCGCATCCGGTGGACTCATTGTCTCATTTATGTCAAAAAGGTCAATATATATGTGGTCTATAGTATACAGATTTTCAGTTTCACTTGTACATCAGTAGGGCAATTGTTTACCATCTTGTAAGATAACACCATCGATTGCATGAAAGAATATAATACTCTTAGGAAGCTTTAATGTTTGGACATGGATGGTCACTTGGTTAATGATACATGTTTGCTTGCTCTAACGTCTTAACGTCATACTTCATCTATGAAGTCATATTTTATTCAATCAATTTGTTGAACAATTAGCATGTTTAAGTGTTCATTTTGCCATGCAGTTTCTTTGGATGTTTTTTTTATCAGTTTTGTAAAAATTAAGCAATCGAAAAATTTCTGCAATATTCCTTACCATAAAAGATGAAATTTTTCTTACTTTTGAATCCATTCACGGAAAAAGTATAATAAACACATTTTGTTTTAACCTATAAATTCTTATCCATGTTTTATTCTTTGTATTCAGTGTTGAAAACAAAACTGTGGTTTAATCCTCTTACGTTGAATAGAAAATTGATAAATTTGGATTTCCTCTCTTGCTTACTGCAGGTTGAAGAATTTCTCTTAGAGGCATTGAAGTGTATGTGTGGCAAGGAGTCAAGAGAATAAAATGCTTCGAAAAGTGGCTAAGCATCGGTTTGAAGGAGAGATCAATGCCTCTAACTGAAACCAAAGCTCTCTATATTTGATAAGATTCATGATCTAGTCTTTTAATTAATATGTTGTTTATGGGAAGCTACCATGTATTTAATCAAACCATACACTTTTAATATTATCTTCTGAATAAAATACACATTTTCTGAATCTATATCATCTCTTTCTCTTCACTTTCAGTCTTTTATATCTACTTATGTTCTTGTTATCACAAGCTGATAGCTAGGTCTATAAAAATTTCGTAGTATTTTAAAAATATTTTGCTCCATTAATGCACTGCAATGCAACAAGATAACCATTTGCAATAAAATCTTGAACATGTAGTTTTACCTTAAACACACTGAAATTATTCAATAAACACTAAATTTGTGATACCACACTTAAAAGAGATGACTCATTTTCTCAGCCAAAAAGGGTCATGCTTATTCAGTTAGTTATTCCATGCTAATAGCATGATCTCTACTAAAACAAATTTATGGGAAAATCGCATTTAAGTGATCAGTTACTTGGAAAATATTTATTTTTGGTCAAACACTTAAACTGCAATATTTTCAGTTCTGTCTTTGTATTAGTAGTATTTTTCCATCAATTTTTTTTTTACTATTGAGCAGAATATAACATTCTGATTTCTGAGATTGGGTGGGATCAGACAACCGAAAATAGTTCTCTATTTTCCAAAGCATCAAATGTTTTTGACTTCCCCAATCTCTTTACTTACAATGGAAAAAGATTCTCTACAACTAAACCTAAACCTAAAATTCTCTATCTAAAAAAACAAAAGAAAAACCTTTTTAAAATTCTCTTCATTCATTAGAAGTAAAAAAATTGCAGAAACCCTAACTAAATAATTTGGGAACACGAGAAAGAAAAAAAAAAAATTATCTACATAGGCACTACTATTACTATGGAGGACGAAATGCTACAAAGGTAGCGTTCGGTCAAACCACTTAGAGAGATGTGTGATTTTCGCCGCTACGCTTTTATTTCGACCAAAGTAAGTTTCTGCATTGGACACCATAACTGCTACGTCGTGTCTTAGTGCTTCCACACTCCGGTAATAGTTGTTCTCAAGCCTTGATCTGATTACTTCAAGAGACAAAGGAACTGGGAACCTGCAGATGAATCCATAGAACAAAACCATGTCAGCTACATCTCCATCAAACTCCTCTTCCAATGTTGAAGATACTTACCTATTGGTGTAGCTGGAGTTTCCCACGGTCTGGTTCAGTTTTTGGAGGCCATAAGCATCCTGAAACGAATTGGTAGAGATTATATCAGATTGCTATGTTCTTGTGATAGTGTTGTGTCTTTGTCTCCTCCTAATCCACTTAGCTTTTAGAATGGACTAACTAAAAACCCCTAATTAATGTAAACCTGGTCCTAAGCTCATCAGGAGAAGTCACAATTTGGTGGCTCGGATAGTCTGAATTAACACCCTGAGTTATTAAATTTGAAGAGAATCACACACCTTGGTTCTTTTATCTGAATTCTCTAACTTTGTCAAGGCCAAGAGTAGACGGTTTCGTTTCTCATCATCAATGTGAGGCTGCTCCCACTTGGTATCAGCATCAAAAAGCTCCCAGGGACTGTGTAGATGTGTCTCGGCCGGATCACTCTTGTATTTCACTGTGTACCTCTCCCACGGACTATCAGGAAAATCAGATGATTTGGGTTTCACAGCTAGAATCCGTCCTTCCCACCAACTACCATCTTCTTCGCCTTCATCTCTCCACCAAACTTTACACTTGTCCCTGCAAGTCCAGTTCCTCTGTATCGCTGCTTCATACCGACTTCTTTCCACAAGAAAATCTGGAAAGCTCACCACCTCAGGCAGCGTAAGTTTGAAACTTTTGTTGAAAACTTCGGAGTTCGGATCAATGACTTTAAGTATCATTTTACAGCAGCTATCCCCAGAACCAGGAAGTGTTGCATATTCAAGACTTTCCACTTTACAAATTTCCACCGCCTTTATATTTCCTCCCTTTATTGAAGTCCAAGGAGCCACTTCTCTCAGAGAGCTAAAGTTTAAGTATTCTTGATGCCCCTGAAAGATACAAGTAACAGCCGCAGGTCAAAAATTGACACCAAAGGTTGACTAAACGAAGCAACAGATAAGATCACCACAACTTACCTGTCGCAAATACGCAACTTCATCCCCCATTTGTGGAATATAACGAGAGCCCTCTTCATGTGTTGATAATGTCAACCAGGATACCTTTTCTACTAGCAGCTGAGGCTTCTTTGTTTCAGCAGGTTTAGTTTCAGTTTCACTGAAAGGATACGTAGACCTTCTATTTCTTGTGGATCTCAACCGAAGTGTTGCCCCAGAAGTCGATCTCCATACTTCTTGAGAGTTTTGGTTTCGACGTGAATCACTTAGTTTATCTTGGATGTGTGTCAAACTGCCTTCTGAGCTCTTCAATCCATTCGATTGGGTCCTATGGAACCCATTAGGGGCACCTTCATGGCAATTAGCTCCACTACTCTGATCCTGACTACAAGAACCTGGACTGATTTCTTGAGTAAGAGTAGCACCCCCGTTTGAGTTATTCTTATGCTTTCGTGACTTCAATCGTGTATAGACATAATCAAACATCCGTTTAGGATGTGACACAGGAACATCATTAAAAATTGAGACAGGACCGATCTCAGGATTCGGTTCATGCACACAATCATTTCTCATAGATAGCTCTGTTCCAACCACACCATCATTTTGACAGTCCAATACCAAATCGCATCTAGTGTCTGCAGAACCATCATATAATGCGTCAGTGCCACTACCCTCCTGATTATTTGATGAAGATTTTACATCTTGGTTCAAAGATGCATCAGGAGTTTTTGAAATCCTCTTGGAGCGTATCCTCAACTTCCTAGAGATAGGTGGAAGGCTATCTTTTAGATCATGCAGGCGACCATCCTGAGAACAGTTAGAGGCACCGTCATCAGCCACTCGACTTGGTGACCCATCCACTCCTAGATATTGCTCCTCACCATTTGGCATATTATTCGAAATCACCGTGTCAGAGTCAACTGCCATGCCATTTATATCTGTTCTTACTTCCAAACAACTAAGTGATGTAACACCATTCTCATGGTGATTTTCATCTTCGTTAACATTATTTTTTTCCTTGCCCTCTAGCTCAGAGACCATAAGTCCATGCGACGACCTTGCTTCACCTCTCATTCGCTTTGGTGTACGAGCCTTAACCATTCCCCATTTGACTTTACTTGCATCTAACCCTTGGAATTTACTT